TTCAGGTCCATCGCTCGGGCAATGTATGAGCCAACAGCACACTTCCATAAATATTACCTGGACGGCAAACTGTTCCCATCAAGGCAGGAAAAAGGATGGAGGGACAGACGAACCCCCCTGTGACTTTCTGCTACATCTGTACAAAATGCTAAAAATACCCTCGGGGAGGTGATGGATGGACCATCGTCAAGGCGGGCGCAGATGACCGAGCAATGTTTTGCCACCATTGCTGCGTCTGAGTGCCTCCTACGTGGCACCTTGAGGCTCAGGTTACATTTTGGGCTCATGTGAGGAGTTCCTGGGCTCCCAGGGCTGAATGAACTGGCAAAGGAAGAGGACACGAGGCCTTGGAGGGAGAGCGGAGAGGCCCAGAAGTGAGCACTGCAGGCGATACACAACGCAACGTAAGCGTGGCCAAAGTCGCATTTACGGCAGGTAGAAAAAAAACAGCTGCAGGAGTGAGAAAGGGTCTTGTCGCTGTTTTGCCTGCTTGGCAATTTGACAAAGCAAATCTTGCTGGCTGGCTGACTCGGGTTCAAACTCCTCGTTAAATCCCAGCTCTTATCGTCTGGTTTGTCGTTTACATCACTCATGATAAGACTTCCATCGCTCCCGGTAAGGGGGTGATTACGGCTCAGAGGAAGATGCAGGGATGAAAGCAGAAGCGATCTGGAGGTCCCCGTGGTCTGGTGAGAGGTCTTCGGTGGGGCACAATTTGGCAGCACGAACTTTGTGTGCTTGCAAAGACCTCCCGCTCAACAGAAGGCTTTCCCATTCCATGAGGATGCTCCTCACGCACCACAAGTGGTCTGCAATGAGAGCAAACCTTGTTTGCAACCTCAATTCATCGCACTGCAGACATCCGAAGAAATACACAGTGAGCTCGACCTGATCGCGGTACCCGAGCTATAGTCTCTGCCACAGAGATGGCTCCACCATCTTCTTAGTGGGCTCAGGAGGAGGAACTGGGGAGAAAAGGCCCTTTTCAGATGCTGCCGTTGCAGCCTGTGCAGACAGAGATGGTTGGATTAATAGACAACCCTGGCAGCTGTAAACCCCCTGTGTTTAAGGCTTGTATCAGCCCTGGAAACAAAAATCTACTAAAAATAATACTGCCCAGAAAGAGAAAACTTAAAAATCCAAAAACAGAGGGTTAACCGCAGGCAGGGAAATGACTCTACATTTTTAAGTCAGAGAAGGAGAATTACAAAGACAGATAAGCTCAACTTGAGTGCATGTGTCCCGACGTGCCAAATACAGGCAGTTTCATACACGCATCCAAACATCTGGCCCCTGGGCGAAGACGCTGAACACTGATGCTTTGACGATAGGGCATTTTCTGCTGCTAAATAACCGTATAGAAGCAAAGCTACAGAGCTGTACACCAACGGCTGGCTCAAACTACTGCAAACCCGCCCCACGCCTTACAAACTGTTCTCAAGTCCCTGAATAGAAGCGGGAAGAGAAAAATAAATGTGTCCTCAAAAGTTCTATTCAATAGGCATCGCCCTAAAAATTCTGTACGTGCATTAAAAAAAAAAAAAAAGTGACTGCGTAAGCGTGTGTTGCTGCTTTGCTGTGAGATTCAGTTGCTGCTAAAAAAACAGAAATAAAGGACTCTAAAACCATTGTGAATTGTTCTTGACTGCGGAGAGCTGGAAGACTGGCTCCTGCCCATGTTACTCCGTCCACAACCCATGTTTTTCAGGCTCAGGTGAAGTAATAGTAGGGTATTTGAAAGGATGTTATTGTTCAAGAACAATCGTGCCAGACATGCGGGTTAATAATAGACAGGGTCATTTATCTCCTGCGTCAACATAAGCACCAAGCAAAGCAAACCACAGGCATTTCCAAAACCATCCATTGAACTAGCACCGCAGTGCGTGGCTTCTCGGTGGGAAGAAATATCCTTGCGGGGAACAGAGCCAAGATATTTCTAATCTATTATTCGGGACTGTTTTCTGATTTTCAGTGAGCTGAACGGGAGAGGGAAAAAAAAAAAGCTGCAGGACAAGTATCGGTAAAACAAGTGAGACGGGAGCTGGGCGGCAGCCAGTTCCCTGCCGCTGCTCAGGTCGCGTGAAGGCAGAGGCTGTCCCGGGGCTCAGCCGTGTCGTCACGGATCTGGGCTCAACTTTTCCTTCCTCCCAAGAAACGTGGTGTCACAATTTGCACCTGCAAGTCGCGCGTTCACGCTGCTGCTCACCCTCGGGCTACAGTGGTAGTGGTTTTACTCCTGTGTGTTGTAATACTCCATTAAGTACTGAGGGTTTTTTTTACAATTAATTTTTTAAAATTTATTTTATTAATGCGTCCTTCCAGGCTGGAACCCCACTGCAGCATACGGAGCAAGGAGATGATCAGGTTTCAGAGAATTTGCACCCAAAATGTATGCAAAGGTGGGTGCAGGTCAATAGAATCATAGAATCATTAAGGTTGGAAGAGACCTCTAAGATCATCGAGTCCAACCGTCAACCCAACACCACCATGCCCACTAAACCATGTCCCTCAGCGCCTCATCTACACGTCTTTTAAATACTTCCAGGGATGGTGACTCCACCACTTCCCTGGGCAGCCTCTTCCAATGTTTAACCACTCTTCCAGTACAGAAATTTTTCCTCATGTCCAATCTAAACCTCCCCTGGCGCAACTTGAGGCCGTTTCCTCTCGTCCTATCGCTTGTTCCTTGGGAGAAGAGACCGACCCCCACCTCGCTACAACCTCCTTTCAGGTGGTTGTAGAGAGCCATGAGGTCTCCCCTCAGCCTCCTTTTCTCCAGGCTAAACAACCCCAGCTCCCTCAGCCGCTCCTCAGCAGACTTGTTCTCCAGACCCCTCACCAGCCTCGCTGCCCTTCTCTGGACACGCTCCATCCCCTCGACGTCCTTCTTGGAGTGAGGGGCCCAAAACTGAACACAGTATTTGAGGTGCGGCCTCACCAGTGCCGAGTACAGGGGCACGATCACTGCCCTGCTCCTGCTGGCCACACTATTTCTGATACAGGCCAGGATGCCGTCGGCCTTCTTGGCCGCCTGGGGACACTGCCGGCTCATGTTCAGCCGGCTGTCGACCAGCACCCCCAGGTCCTTTTCCGACAGACCAGTAGAAGGATGATGGATCTGGACAAATAATGGTCCCAGCACACTAACATTTTCTATCTACCTATCTCATGCTGTCCCAACCTGGCAGTATAATTTTTTTTATTCTGGTTACGATAAGAAAAGCTACCTCAGTCCTTCCTTCGCTTGCAGATAACTATTTAAGTCAACAGGGGACACAGACAGGCAGGAGACCATTCTCCTTTCCCTCAGCAGTATTTTAGTGGTGATTTATTTCTGTTCTGGGCTCCCTTTTGGAGGTCTTATCCACGAGCTGTTAGGCAAGACCCTTTCTTCAGACAGACTCTTGCAATTTTCCACTTTTATATATATTTCAAAAGGCCACTACAACTGTTGGAAGACGGCCATTTGGCCAAATGGGGAGCGAACAAGTCCTGGTGCCAGTTTGCCTCAGAAAGATGGGTATGGGAATGTCTCAGGGGACTGAGAAAAAAATTAAATCACTCTTTCACCTCTGAATCTCTGATGTAAGCTCTCCACAGCTGAAAATATGACTTTTTTTGTGAAACACGCTGGTAGGCATGCCTCTCTGGGCCAAAATGTGGATGTTGCGGCGGCACTCCCAGAAGCAACAGGGAAAAACTGCTGGCCTAGCAAGGCACGATCCTGCTCCCACCCTAAAAGCCACGCAAAAGTGGAAGGAAGGGTTTTTGGGGGTGTTTCGGTGGTGATTGCTACCTGTCCTCTGCATACGGGGAGCTCTGCATGCTTGTTGCTTTCAACGGGATTTTCCTTGAGGGATCTCAAAGTGCTTCTCAGATGCAGATTCTTTTTATTTTCTCCAAATTACAGAAGATGAAACAGATTAGGAAAGGTGTAGAGGCCTGATCCTTTGCCCAGGGATGTAGCAAAATCCTGCCTTTAACCACAGGGCCAGACACGACCCCATTCTAAAGACTCTGGTTTAATGTCACGGCAGCTGGGACAGACCCATCTGTCCCCATCTGTAAAAATTTACAGAAATCTCTTGGCAAGTGCAGCTGCGTTAAAACCTTGATACAAACCTAAATGACACCTCGTTTCTTACGGATCACCTGAGTAGGCCCTTAAAGATCTTGTTAGCAGAAAATGAGGCTTGGTCAGTGGTTTGGGCATACCTGCAGGCTGTCTTAACGAAACTTAATGAAACCATTAAAGCTTCTGTTCATGAAATTTCTAAAATTTTCTCTTTTCTACCTTTTGTCTTAATTTTGTGATGCTTTTAGGAACCCCGATCTCCCAAATCCCGCTGGGGAAGCTAAAATCAGCCAAGAGTGGGGCTGGGAGAGCATCTGAGCAAGAAGGGGACCACCGTGTCTTAAAATGCCCATCACTAGCGGGGGCTTGGGGGGATTTACCCTCACCCTGCGATGGGGGGAAGGAAAAAAGAGGGAGGGAAACACCTTGCAGAGGGTGCGTGGGTTGCCCCCCCCTGCCCTGCCCTCCCTCCCCCCCCCACAAAAAAAAAAA